CCCCCCCCCCCCCTCCCCCTTTTTTTTTTTCCACCTCAGGGCATCGTCGATCCCACAATTGAGAGTGGAAGATCCGGATCCTACATCAACCCGACTCCATCACAATTCCAGCAACGAGTTAGCAAGGAAGGAAGAGTCCTCGCAAAATGTAAGATTGTGCAATCTAACGATGAAGATTGCGATCTTAACAACTTTGGTACCTTCCATGAGAGGGAATTTGATTTCTATTTCAGCTTTAGACAAATGTGGCTATACTTCTGAGTTTGGTATGGTCAACTAGTTATTAATTTTAATTCAAATGCTATAGGTTTAGGAGATTTGTATGATGGACATTATATGTTAAATTTAATTGATATGCTTATTAGCATCGTTGTTAGGTGTAAGCGTGACAAGATTGATGAGACATCTTCTATGCTATTGCATAGACATTTAGGGCATATCCATAGAACTCAAAAGACTTAAATTAAGAAAACGATTAAGGAAAGTATCCTTCATGATCTTAACTTCTATGATATCAAAGGCAATTTCACTATCAAAACCAAAAAAAAAAGGAACAACCATATGAGACGATGTGCTCCAAGGGTGAATAGGCATTTTATTACCTTCATAACTGATTTCTCCAAACATGGGTAGATAGACTTACTTTAGGAAAAATCTAACTCACTAAATGCCTTCAAATCCTTCAAGGTCATTGAATAGAGGAAAAAGATTAAATGTACTATCAGTATGGCATTGTGGCTACGATGAAAACCGAAAGAAATCTATGAAGATTCACCAGATTTTTTGATGAGTGAGGAATTGAATTGAAGCTCAACACACTATGCCTAGTGGCTGGGAGCAAAATGGAGTTGTAAAGAGACACAATTAAATGCAAATGGCGAGGTTAATTTGCATTCCACTAGACACCGATTGAGGCGAGATAAATAGATATATGAAAAGACCTAACCTGATCACGATGAGGGACCTTAACGTCACGAGAGGAAGAAATGACGCCGAGCATAGGGAGTCTGCGAACGTTGGTGAATCTCTGGCGGCAAATTGGGCATCGAGACTCGTGCCTGGCCCATTCCATGATGCAGACGAAGCAAAAGTAATGGCTGCAGCAATCGATTTCCCCTGCGATCGAAACCCCGCGCTCGGCGAAGCAAATCCCGCAACAAACGCCCTCATCTCCCTCTACTGGGGATTTCAGCCGCTTCTTCGGCGAACCAATCGACGACATCCTCGTCGGATCCCTCAACTCGCACCACTTCCACTTCCACTTCCGATTCACACACTGTTCAGAACCACAGGATGTTCATTATGCGCCCTTAGGGATGCCTCTCGAGTCTCGCCTGGCCCCATTCATTCTTATCTCAGGAATGGGCCATAGGCCCAATTGCATTCCTTACCATATATCAACTTTAGCTCGCACTAAATCTAAATGTAATTTAATTCATGAATTATAGTTCTAATTATTTATAATATTATTTTTTGTGTTTAAACTTATCAAATTTTAGTTTTAGCTAAACATTTTTTTTATTTTCATACATTTTAAAAAATATACGTGCTGGTTAATCTTGACCTTTTTAATGACATGAGTAATTTTGAATCAATATTTTTTTTTATATAGATATGATCTATATAATAGTAGTTTTTAATCTAAAAATGGATTTCGGAATTCAATTGTTTATTAAAAGTTATTTAATAACGTTAGAACTACTATAACTTAAATAATCCCTCGGATGTAAAAGACAATAGTTAAAGAAAGAATCAAAAAAACTTTTTTTAAGAAAATTTGATTCTTTAATTATTAGTAATAAAAAGAAATAGTTAAAGAATCTAAATTAACAACAACAAAAAATGCTAAAAGTGATAAGAAACTCAGCTCGAATTCAAGTTGTGTAAGCGAAAAAAGCAAGTCTTGGGAAAGTTTTGTTCACTTTGAATTGAATTAAATGGAGGATTTAATCAAAACAAAAAATGAAAGATAACATTTAATCTTATTAATAACATTTAAACGAAATCTTAATATAATTTGGAGAAAAACTCTCTTTTGGAAAACTATGGCTGAGTTCACAATGAAAGCCTCAATACGTTTACATACAAGTATATATAATTAATTACCTATTCATAATTATTTGTGACTATCCTAAACACAGTGAGGACTACAAAACTGAGTACAAAGGCAAAAACAAATGGTTAGAAGTACGTAAAAACTAACCAAGCTAAAACACACTACATTCCATTACATATATATATATGTCAAAACTCTGTGTCCTTAAAACTTAGTGAATCAGTTATTCTTGGGCGGGTGTGGTCTTGGAACATAATAATCAGCATTCAGTGGCACCAGACCAGACATCTTGACTTTCGTAGAATGGCCACTATTCTTTTTACTAACTTTATGTTTCACATTCAAAATTCCTTTCCCTTCTTCATGGTTCCATTTGGTGGTAAAACCCTTTGCCATATTAATTCCATTCTCAGCCTTTACCACATTCGACCTCGAGAGTACTCCTCTAGACACCATCTTCCTTCCATGAAGAAACTTCGTTCTTTGATCTGTCTCAGCAAAACCATGATAAATCTGCTGTAGCAAATTATTGCAACATTATTCAGCCACTTTTTGAATGATTTCATAACATGTAATATAAATAATGTATGTGGGGACACACATATATTCTTACCTCTACGTTCACTGGACTTCTTGCCGTTTCATGCTTGGAAACCACCAGTTTCTTCTTACCTGAACAATCAAGTTTTACAAAAGGTTAAGGCAATTTTTGAAACAAAAACAAAGGTGAGTCTGAGAAGAGAAAGAAAAGAGACGAGGAAGTGAAAAGGTAGTGAACCTTGGTGTGCGGTGGAGAATCTTAGAGGGAGCAAAATGAAAAGTAGGAGAAAGGTGGTGGACCTTGCCGACACCATTATTGCGAATCGAATAAGGTAAGGGTATGTCGTTGAACAAAAAGAGGAGAGGAATCCTGCGGAAGAGAAGTGGGTCTTTCTTTATAGGGTCCAATTCCATGACATAGCAAACCTCTCTTGGGGCTTTATGAGCAAATTAAAGAATGATTTTTATATATGGAGCCATGGAGGCAATTTCAGAGAGTGGTTGCTTGGGAAAAGCAATTAGCGAGAACAACGTTGAAAACGGTTTTGTTTGCGGGTTGAAGTCAAAGTGTAGAAGAAAAAAGCGTATGATCGCGTGAAATGGAAGATACAAGTTGTTCAGCGCTTGTCGGCCGTCATGCATGCAACGAGGAGAACTTGTTTGGTCCATCTTCCATCGTATTCATAGGCTCCACTTCCTATGAAACAGTTCATATGGCTGTACTTTGAAAACGCATTTTTGCTAATTCCTTTAACCAAGCTTTGTTCGTATTAATTTATTATGATTTAGCAGTACTTGATTTCATAGCTTAAGCTTTAAACAATTAAATAAAAGTGAGTGGGGATGGGAGAAATACATTAGGGCACGCTTTGTGGTAGACTGTGTATAATGTGCATTATATATATATAATAAAGGCAGTTAGTTTAGACTTACAGTTGTATCTCATTCTTCGGGTATAGCTTGCTTTTAGCTTAGCCTTATTTTTGACCGAGATTAGAGGGTACTTCGAAAGAAGTGTTTCGGTTTGACCATTACGATTAGCGAGTAATAATCTAATGTAATTAACATTATTTTATTCTAAATATAAATTCTATACTGATAGTGCAGCTCTTTATTAGAAATACATGGCATAACAAGTTTGTGAGAGGCGTTCCAAAAACTATTTATAAAAGGTGAACATTTCCTCCTATCACAAGTTTGTTTTACGAAGGTCTATTATATTGTGTGAGGGGGTCACGGAATGGTGAAGGTTTTCAAGGTTGTCCATAGATTTATAACTAAGGCACTTTATCAAATTTGTCTACAAAAATTGTGACGAAAGGAATTTTATCAAGTTTGTTAAAAAAATCTATAAGGGAATAAATTTTGATAATTACTCTTTTGGTTTTTATTTTTGTATTGGACACTGTTATTCTTAAATTTAACAAAATTTCTTATTTCAAATTTTTTCAAAAATAAATATATAGATGTACGAATTGCCTCTTTTGCTACTAATTTGATATAATGAAACTTATATTGAATTGTTCTCATAGAAATAGATAATTGGTGAAAAATAATGATAATTTTTTAATTCATTCACTATTTTTATTTGTACTGTTATTTTGTATGTGTTTTATTCTTTGATCATCATTATGCATGAAGAATTTATTTTTTTTTAAGAATGATATTAGAATTAGTTTGTATAATCAAGTTATCAACTAGACAAGTATTGAAGTGAGATAAAGTCAACGGTAAATCAAGTAGAGATCCTTATATCAAAAAATTTTACAACGGCGTAGAAGTCAAGGGATGTGTCTCGTTGGCTATAATTAAACAACAATCAATGTAAATATAAGAAGTATCAACATCTAACACTAACACTATGAATGAATATTGAGATCAATAGAGCAAGGATCATGCCAAAGTTTATAATGAAAACATGATGTATGAGAGAAAAATACATGAAAGATTAAATGAGATTTGAAATTTTGATGATTGATGAGAAAAATGTTAGTAAGACAATCCAAATTAATTTGTTGATATTAATTCAAGTATGAATTTAATAGGTACATTCCAAAATGGTAATGGAATGTACATTAACTTGTGAGAATTCTATTGTATCATTTCGAATAAAATTCAACATGGAATTGATGAGGTCGTTTATATATGTGTAGAATGTTAAAAACTAACTTCTATATCTTTTAGGTTTGAAGTTGGTAGATAATTATAATGAATAATTGTGTTATTCCGGATAAATCCAATATGGACCCACCAAAGAGATAAAATCCAATATGAGCGGCCCAGAGATAAAATATGATATGAACCCACCAATGAGATAAATTCGATATGTACTCATCAATAAGATAAATCTAATATGGGCCCATAAAGATGACATAGGTTAAGATTAACATATTTTTTTTATCTATTATATAAGTTGGAATAAAATTGACCTCTAAAAGAGTTGACAACAACCATGAGGGAGGTTGAAATTAATTCGACCCAAAAAATTCTAGATTAAATCATATTTTTAATAATTAAGATAATATGTCAATATATGATATTTAAATTACCTTATCAAATTCATAAATTTTTAGGGTCTATAAACCCATTAACAAATAATTATAAAAACTTTGATATTAAAATAAGGATGGAGATATTGTACTTTTAAATGTTCTGACTTTAGTTGAATAAATAAATTTAACTCTAAATATTTTTCAGACTGATTGACTGAAACAATGATTGACTGAAACAAGTATAATGAGAGATGAGATGATCAAATAAAAATTTATCAAGTGTCATTTATAATTAGAGTTATGATGTTATATGTATAAAAGGATCATGTGTAAATTAGAGAGATATGTATATATTTTTATTTAAGTTATTATTATATCAAACACTTGAGGTCAAATCATATAGTATTTAGGAATAACCTTAGTTATTTCTAGTTGCCCATAAGTTTATTCATACTTGTTCACAAACTCATGAAGTTTAGACCAACCAAAAGTGTTTGAATCGTCACACTAGCATATTTTCACGTACACCGACAATGATCCCTTTAATATTTTTGTGATTAGATTTCCCCACGTGGAGTCAAAAGGTTTTTTTTTTCCTTTCAAATATGTTTATTTAATTAAATACTTTAATATTCAGTCTTTTAAACTTAATATTCAGTCTTTATGACATCGGTTAAAGACATAATATATAAATTAAATAAAGTAATGAGAGAGATTATGTTGTTACATTTTTTAACAAATTTAATTAAAAAAATTACTTTTAATTCCTTGACCAATATCTCAATAATAATAATTAACATTTTTTTTCTCCAAACCAAACAACATTTTAAAATTTCAAAATTTAAGAAATACTCTTTTCATTTTTTTTATAAGACTTAATTAATTACTTAGTTAATAAGCAGGAAAAATGAACTTGGTTAATTTAGTTGGTAATATCAAAATTTGTCTCATTGTTTTTTTCTTCCAAAATTGCATACTCCCTCTATTATCTATTATAAGAAGAAAAATATGATTTTATACATTAAAAAATTAATTATTTGTATTAAAATTTATTAATTTTATAATATTATTTTTCTAAATTGTTCTTATTATAAATAATAATAAAAATAGTACAATTGAAAGGTCATATATTAAATGAGAGATATTATAGAAAAAATATATTAAATGAAGTAAAAGTAGTTAAAATTTATTTATATTTATAAAAAAAAAGTGTGTGTATTTTATTTTATTTTTTATTTATAATAGAAAATAAATAGAATATTCTTAGCATTAATAAGACCTTTACTAACTTACTATATCAACTACTTATTAAATTAAGAAAAATAACTTCAATTGAAGATGTTTTATATTAAAAAATTATTATTATTAAATGAAGAAAAATAATTTTAATTATAGATATTTTTATAAAAATAATTTATACATGAGACATTTTAGATT